AATTTGTATAGAGCTGATACATCCCAAACCCCCGTACTGTATTCTTCATACTGGTGATGGGTTTCTTGTCTGCGTTCTTGTTATATGAAAATGTTAATAACACTGTTAAAATGTGATGATGTGGAAGCCAGTGATTGATGCCTCCGTTTCTGGCTGCTGTCAAATGGCACATGCAATGTTAGGCTGGACAACATCAATCTGAGCTTTGACAGGGACAGTGATGCAGGAGGTCGAGGCTACACACACCCACACACGCACGAACGCCCACACCAAACAACACATTAAAGCCTTATGACGCGGTTTGATTTAATTAGAATACAGTTTTAATACCATTACTATATAGAAAGAGTACAACTACTAAAAGGTTTTCAAAATAGTTGTTGTTTTTTTGTCTGATCCCCCCAAACGAATAACCCATAGCAACGCCTTAGAAACGAAAACAAACTTCACAGCCCTTGGTGACGTCAGTAACCGCGGGTACGTTTCACCGCTGTTGTAACTTGTTTACATTTGATATTCGTTCTTTTTCGCGGATATTCAAGATGACAGGCGTGTGACAGCGAGTATGAATACCTACTAGAATGTGACATTTTTTCGCGTCACTGAGATAGTTCATTGGTTGTGATTGATGGCCATTGTCAATCTAGATACTTGGGTTAATTCCCACCTCGGACACTTTTTTCACACTCAAAAGGCAATGTATGTGTACAGTGAGCAATTGTCACAGTAGAGCGGGGCAGATATAGTGAAGGGCATCAGTGGACGACGAGTAGAGAAAAGGCATACCTGTGGCATAGGCTTATCCACACGAAGACAAAACGCTTATAATTGGATTACCCAACTTTCTGACCAGAAAATAACACTATGCAATTCAACAATATTACTAGTTATTATCTATCAGTTTTCACCTGTATTTTGGCCTCAGTCAGATATTTAGATCAGAAAAGTCAAATCGAGAGGACCACCATCCATCAGCCAATCAGCACTCAGCCCAAAGTACCAAATAGTGAATAAGGGCTGTTTGTGAGAATGCATACGTTTTATAACAATATGCTGAGCTCGAGTTTTACTTTTAAGACACTTTCTGCTGAGAGAAAATTAGTTAGAGAGAATTAGAGAAAAAAAGTAAGTTTACCCAGCTTTATATTTCACAAAACACAGGCAAGATGATTATATTTAAGAATTAGCTCAATATTCAAAACTAAAAATATTATAATAATACTAGTATTAAAATTATGACCATACCAAATTTTGCTAAAACACATATTTTCACAAAAGAATCTCGCTGTTCTCCGTCGCAGTGCCATCCGTTATAGAACACTACTCTACTTCCTGTAAATGGATATTTATCAGTGAAACACTATCAGTTAAAAATCAGGTTTCACAGTCCAGTCAGACAGATGTGCCCCGTGTAACGTCCTAATCCAGTCTGCATTCATTAACTTTTCTGGAAAGGCCCTTTTAATCTCATCATTTTGAATACTACAATATTTAATCTGCTCCTTTAGAAGTAGCCTGTGTACTGACCCAGCCTGGACATCCACGATAATAATAATATTTTGTTGATACATGCTGTATTTATGTACTGTATGACTTAGAAGTAACGTGAATACTTTAAAAAAATTGACTATTAGTCCAAAAGGATGTCACCACAAAGCACATCCTAATAACTCCATCCCTATTGAAATGATAACATGTATTTTTTAAGGATAATCTGGGAATCTGGGAATGGGCAGATCCTTAGGTCATGGGCCTTGACAACCTTGATAATATCTGTTTTTTCTAAATAAATATTTGTGGCAAGTGCATTTTGTTAATCAGTTACAACATTTTACTCTATAGTTTATTAAAGACGTCTCAGTCTGATTGGTCACAAATACAATGATGGACCAATACCAATGTGTTTCCTGTTTTAATTCTTGCGTTTGAGCTGTTTGATTCTCTGATCTGTGTTGGCAAATTAAACAGTCGTGTGAAGTCCTCCGAGATAAACTACTGCTGTGATTTAGGGCTATACCTGAATACCTTGAATTGAACTGAATCTAAATACATGCTTTTCTCCTCTCAGGTCTGGTTCCAAAACAGAAGAGCCCGTAGTATCAAGACTGGGCGCTTGTACAAGTCGACCAAGGCTCTTCAAGCAGGAGTCCGTGGGTCGTTCGGGCATGAAAACTGTCCCGGGTCTGCAGCTTTCCCCACCACCACTGCCCTGTCCGACATACTGAGACCAGATCCAAGTAGTGATGATGTCCCACAGATATATTCAGACTGGATACAAGCCCACAATAACTACATCTCATCACCCCAATCTTTCCACCACCACCACCACCAGCAGCAGCAGCAGCAGCAGAACACTTTGAGCTCCACCAAAAGCGACTGCCGTTTTTGGGACACGGAACAAAGACAGAGTATGGCGCCCCAGATGTCAGCCTTTTTGCCCAATACATTTGCTCAGACCATTTCCAGACCAAACCACCAGGCAACATCATCGCAAAGGCAGCTGCAAGGGTTTAGGAAGCCCCATAGCTTGGTGCATAATGGGATGTCTTATGGAGCGGGTGGAGGGGTGGACCAGGTCGTACCAACTCCAGTGTTTTGGGACCAGGGACACCACGGGTATAACCACCATTCTCAGATGGGACCCACGACTTCTATGGGCTACATATCGGATCTGATTTACAATGCAGCGATTGTGACGAACTTCCTGGAGTTTTGAACGTTGAAACAAAACAAGACAATATATCAGACAACCTGCTTGGACCATAGAGATATTATTAATTTGCTGGGAATGTACAGAAATAAGGTGAGCTGACAAAAATACAACAATTTTGAGTGGACTCGCTTCTCTGGCTCTCGGACATGTTGTTATACCTGATGGAGAGGGCAGTTGCTTGTCTACAATGTTGATGTTTGAGTTTCATGACATGCTTTGGACATTTCCAGGCAAAATAATTATCTTTTGCTATAGTCAAGCTAACAAAAATAGAAAGGTTGTATTAGGCATCAAGCGGGGGTACTTCATTTTCACTTCAAAAACTTTTCAAGAACGTTTGGTTCTATCTCTAATTTTCATACCTATTTTTGTCCTCTGTAACATCTTTAGATCAGTGAAAGTGAAAAAGAGAGGACCACCTTCACCCATCCAATCAGTTCTCATCCCAAAGTGTCAAATAGTGACTCACATGACTCATTTTTAGAGTTATGCATGTTTAAACAAGACAGCAAGCTTGTAAAGGAGGAACATATATTATATTTTCTGTTGATTTATTCATGGCTTCACTTCAGCTATAATTCATTATGAGCAGAAAGATCAATCAAAGTGCTTTGAATAAATGCATTTGAAATTCATAATTTTTCATAATATAAGAGGTTACAAAGTGTTACAAATGTATGATGCTGTATCTACTTCCTACAAACCTACAAATGACAGGACACTGGCCGACATGAGACAATATGAAAAAGCCAATTGGTTTTTTACATGCTTAGTGAGACCATTTTATTGTTAAGGTGGATCCCAAACTGGCGAGAGCTCTGGTGTGTGCCGTCTTCTCAGTCTGCTGCACATTGGGGTAGTCTTGCAGTTTTTGACAGTGTGGTTTTACAGCAAATGGCAAATAAACTCTTGAATCTTGAATGAACAGGCAACTTTCAGCTGTTAAAATGAAAACAGCGTCAATAGATTCTTTTGGGGAATTTGTTCTCTGCATTTGGCTCCTGCTCGAACAGTTTTGTGAATAACAATAATTTCTTGGTATTTCCATTTTTGTACATGTACATTCTTCTGTTTTATAATGTATACATCAATCTGTATTAAAATCCACAGAAAATACTGATGTGCATTACTTCTGATGCTTTGACTTCACTTTAAAACCCTTCTAAACATCCCGATTAAACTGAGCCCTTATCGTAAGAAGATACCCTGACAGAGATAATTATTTTCAGATTCAAAATATATTTTTCATATCTGAACTGTAAGTAAGAGACAGGACAGAAGGAAGAAAAATAAAATTAAACCAGAGCTCCGGGTCTATCAGCTTACAGCCGGATTTACCTTTACAGATATGAGAGAAACAGCAGTGGACAGTGATCTCCGCATATCATAATAATAATAATAATCTCTCATAGGAAATAATCTTCCAATGAAGCTTTAATCCGGTGTCAAATCTCAGATCTTTGAGAAATACTTTTGTTTTCCAGATGTACTTACATTATTTAATCCTTCCTCTGATATCACACGAAGGATTTTATATCAATTTGGAGGAAACTGGAAAACATATTTACGTTTGAGCGGCCTGTGTGTTGCGATATAGAAAACTACACTGTGCAAAGAAAAATCATTGAATTAATATTATACAGTTTACAAAATCTTCTCCACACATCATGGCACGTTCACTTTGGGGGTATCAAATTGGTAAGACTTATTTATGGTCATTACTTATTGATTACTCAATTATGTCTAAGTGCATAAGCATCCAAAAACACAGGTGGGCCATAAAAACGTTGTCATAGCAGTTGTTAAAGCCTGAATCAATACATGTTTTTACATAAATAAGACAAGAGCAAACCTGTCTTGTTTTGATGGACAATATCTTTCCACTTTCATTTTTTTAGATGCCAATTCTATTTTCCATCCTCTGAATAATTAAATACAGTTGCTACATTAATACAGGAAGTTTTTCAGGCAGCTTCCTCTGTTGTTTAGACCGGCAGGTATGTAAAAGTAGTAGAAATCTCCTCCAAATATAGTTATAAATGCATAAATTAAATACAATTTGGTATTGCTAAATATAAGATACATAAATAAATAGACATTTGCCTACTATATGCTACATTTATTCATTTCTCAAAACATTCATACAAAGCTGCACATAGTGATTTAAATACACAAGTACAAAAGTAAATAAGGAAAGACAAGAAAACAACCAAGACAGAGATTCATTTTAAATAAACACGTTCAGGAAATCAGTAAGACCTTTCACAAAATGTGTTTGAATAGTGCATTATGGTTCCCCCAGTTCTCCCTCCATGGTTCGGACCAGGACGTAGAGCTCTGCCAGACCCACCACTGAGGCTGCGATGACGGCTGCTATTACCCTCTGCAAGAACAAGACAATTAATAAAAATAAACTCAGTAAAAGTTTCATTCATATGTCAGGGTTAACTATTTAGAACAGCTGTCAATTTTAATGTCAGTATTTTAATGCAATACAAAGACTGACAGAAAGCTTTAAAAGAAAAACAATATAGTTTCACAAATATAGAATAATAACTAATAATATAATACAATATATAATTTGTGAAGGAATAAGCTATAGCATCAATAACATTAAGCAAATTTGGCTCATTTCGATCAGAACTTAAATAGACTTTATTTCATCATGGCATTAGCCTATAAATAATATTAATTTTTTGTGTTTTTACCGAAGTGGTTTCTGCAAAGAGGTACTGGCTTCCCATGTATGAACAGGCAAACGTCGCTATAACTGTCACCAGGAAGTTGAAGACGGTCACTACAGCTGCTTTCACAGAGCGCACTGCACAAAAAGCAAAAACCCATAAGTAAAATGTGATCAGAATCTTCAATGTGAGCCAGTCTATAGTCTTTCACCGTCTCGTCCTAGATCTGCCAATCCCCCGCTCCGGCTCATTTCCTGTGGATGCACATGTACACAAAGCTGTTGATGAAGACACTTGAAAAGGTGAGATTGAGAAGACAATTTTATGAAACGTGAATTAATACCTGCGCATTAACATTTCTGGTTATCCGGTTGTATTCCTCATTTGCGAGCTTGGCTTTGATCTTTTCCAAACGTGCAACCAGCTCTGGGTTCTAGGACAACAAACAGAAAATAGAGTTAGCTGTAACGTTTTTGCTCTTTTTATACCTATAGCACAGTCTAATAAAATAACTGAAAAAAAATGAAATGAAATGAACAATAAAACCCTTTTGTGAGGATATTATTCACATTTAAAACGTCACTTAACGTACCCTTGGTGGTTTTACTACTTCAGGCAGGTGCAACGAGCTCTCCTCAAGAAACTGATGAAGATAATACGGATGATCTGGAAATATGAAATACATTTCACAACTCTGACGACGATCCACCATTGACAGTGCAGACTTAGCTATGTGTCATATAGATCCATGGTGTCTTGCTAGTGTAGTTTTCTCACCATTGTCCTGCAGGCATTTCTTCAGTTTTCTTGCCGTTTTGAAAGACAGCTTTGTCGTGGTCTCGTTTTCCAAAATCTCCTCTAACTCTTCTTTTAAATCTTGCGGAACCGAAACCTTTTCTAACAACTGGGAAGCTTTATTTCTGAATTTCTCCCCGACCACAAAAGCCGACGCCATAGCTATATTCAATCAAAATTGCGTTAAGTTAGCATACAGCTATAAACATATGAATATACTAGTTCACCTATCGTCAACAAACACCAAAAATGTCTTATTTAAATGCATCTAAAGTGTAATTTCTTTTAGCTGATTATAAAAGCAGAGTGAGCGGCCATGTTGTTTACCTTGTGACGGTGACGTAGAGAGGTCGAAGATAGCATGCGTTCACTGTAAAATAATAGTTGGAAATATGAGCTTCTTTGGTAAAAACGTAGTATAAAAAAGTATATCTAGTTTATAATTAACTTATAACTTTAAAATATAATGTATCATAAAGTCACAAAGAACAGAAATAATAGCTGAATCCAGCCATGATAATGTATTTGTATTTATTATTGAACATTTTGCACACATTTGACAGACAATCAATGTGTCCTCATTAATTTCGGACGCGTTGCCAGTTTTATTAAAACTTAATTTATCCAACATCAAGCATAATTGTGTTCTTATGTTTGGATGTCCACGTAAACTTTCGTATGTTTCCAATTATGTTATTCTTCTTGTTGCTCTTAAACGCAACGTAAGTACATACAACGGGATTCCAAGTTGCCAAATCTGACACTTTACATCGATTTTGGATTCCTTGTGGTTATTATATATTTAAGATAAGATAGACCCATAAGATTGACCTTTAGTCGTCCCACAGTAGGGATATTTCAAACATTGATTTTACATGTTTTACTTGTGGGTCTTTGTATTTAATATTTTATGATATATTTTATTCTTTACCTATTTCAAACAAATTATTTTATGGTAGTGCCAAAACACTTATATATCATATGTATTTTATGAAAATCTTTTTCCATCGAGAATATTTTGTATGTATTATATATTTTTGATTTATAAACCGTGTCCTTAAAATTATGATCAATAATATTAATAATAGCATCAGCATGTATTGATTAATTGGAACAGGGACAACCATCTACTGACCGTTGACCTTATATTACTACCTACTATTTGTTTATTACCTTCAAACGTTGATTATTCACATTTACATATTACCCCTTTTCTCCAAGGCATTGTCGCGGATTGGACCCCTTGCTTCAAAATCTGGCAACCCCGTGTCCAAAGTGCGTGTGTGCTTGAGCGTGCACTAGCATCAAACATGGCGGCCTGTGCACTACGCCGAGGTCTACTGAGCACTGTCACTAAATACAACAGAAAACACTCTCACAGACTACTGGTGACCGCGGCGGACAGTAGCGGGGGATGGGATGTGTTCAGACGCCGGCTCCAGTGTCGTGTTTGTGGGCTGACGGCTCTGCACGGGTCGCTGCTCCATCCACAGCAGCAGCGGAGGGGTATGTCGTCGCGGTAAGAACTCAATCCTCTCTGTCAAAGCTAGCGGCTAAAACACGTGCCAATACAACACCTAAGCTCAGTCAAGCCACAGTTTTGCCAAATCCACAATGAACTGCAGATGTGGGGCTGTCCCAGCATGTTTTAAATGAGCGCGTACAGCTGATTTTTATTGCTAAGGTTGTAAATAATTGTTGCCCTCTGCTCACGGGCTAACCAGCGGGCATTGGGCAATAAAAGCATGACATAAGTTTGAGTATGAAAGTGCTCAGTTACGAAGCTACTCCACTCACGATTACCTCATAACAGATTTTGTAATGTGTGTATTTTAAAGATTAAAGCTGTGATACCCATTTTTTCCTTTTTAAAACAATCAATGTAAAATTAAAATGTATTGAATGAGTTGACGTGAAGACCGCATGTTCTGTGCAGCAATCACTATTTGAGACTTTGGGCTGAAAGCTGATTATCTGTCTGTGTGAGTGAGTCCTCTCTGTTTTACTTTTCTGTCTAGAAAAGATGAAGCTAAATATCTGAGGGAGGCCAAAAATGCGTGGCAAAACTACTGTAGTGATAGAACCAAATTGTTATGAGAACTAGTTTGATGATTTTCTTTCTGGTTTAAAGTTGGTTACCCCAGCTTTAATTTAAATGACAACTCAAGGATCATATCTGTGGAGAGGGGCGAGCTTTAAAACCATAATTATGTAATTTATAGACCATACTAAAACAGTTTCTTAAATGGGGTGTCTTTTGAAACAATTGTAAATGGGATATAATCTTATTTAGAGGTGCAATATATCATAATGTTTGAGTTGAATGGGTGCATCCCTAGTTTGTAAGACCAAAGAACTTTTTATTAATCAAACTGGGACATTTGCAGTGTTGTCCTCATAGACTGTATATATTAACATGTGTTGTCCTGCACATACACGGCAGCAGTAAGGGCATATAAGAAGCACACACATGCAGAGATGAGCCTGTTGAGTCAGTTTCTTTATATGTACTAGTCTGGATTTGCATTGAAAATTTGCAACAGTCTTGATTTAAGTTGTGAGGTTACAGTCTGTGTTTACTTTTGCCGTTTGGGGCTCTGGAGGGGAGTGAGGGCGGATCTAAAACTCTGGAAGCATTACTGTTCCTATTGCAAGGCCAGCTTCTGTTTATGACTTGTAATTTGTTATCGGTTTTTGCCTGTGTTACAATAGTTTTAATTTCATAATGCAACTGAATAGTGCTAAATGTGTCGCCAAATTACCTGTTATCTGGCACAAAAGTGAAACTCTTAACCCCAAGTGGAAGAATGTCACTAAATACAAGGTCAAAGCACAGTATGTGTTAAAGATGTATCATAAATTTGTTTGCACTTTATGATAATCTCTAAGACCCATTGTATGTTAAGCTTTTGACCACTTAGTTATAATCAAACGGGATGTTCTTTTTTGAAACATTTTTAGTGTGTTCCTTTTGAAAACGGGATGAGATTTCCTTATATATAAACGTGGTGTGTACATTCTATTTGCTGTGTCAATGTTCTCTTCAAACTATGACCAGGCATTTCTGTTCTCACTCACTGTCATGTGATGAGACTTACAGACTTAGAGCTATCATTAGCAGCTATTCCAAGGGTATTTATTAGCCATTTACTCGTGCCACAGATGGTTCAACTATTTAAGTTAATTTCTTCAAAAAAATGAGTCCTCAATTATGTGAGCTGTCAATGTGCGTCAGATGGAGTGATCCAGGATGCTCTGACATACTACTCGTATCTTGGGCTTTGTAAGGGCTAATATTCACAAAATAAATCTAAGACATGCCAACACTTTTTCTTATGTTCTTATAACTTTTTGTGATACCTGCAGTCAGAAGGTGCAGTCCACATGAGCCGTGTTTATTAAAAAGACAAAACTTTTTGTTTTGAAAAAATGAACCTAACCGTGGCCTCTGAACCGAGGTACGATCCGAACCGTGATTTTTTTTTTCAAACCGTTGCACCCCTAATAGTAACTGATTCATTGTTAACTATTTCCAGACTCAACACGTTTGTGTTGAGTCAGTCTAAAACAATAATAATTCATAGAAGTCTAAAATGTCAGTTTTTTACGGAGATAGTATTTGAATTTCCTCCCAGCAGTTCACACACTTAGGCCCTGTCCACACGAAGTCAAGCTCAGGCCTAAACGCAAAAATACTTTATCAATCCAGTGTATCGTCCATACGAGGCCGGCGTTTTGGGGGGGTGTAAACGAACATTTTTGAAACTAGGTGCCAGAGTGGAAAGATTTCAAAACTCCGTATATGCCGCTCCGTGGTTACTGCCTCTCCGCAATGTATCTGAGACGCTTGCGTCATCGCCCCGCCTCTTGTTAAAGCACGCATGCGCCGCACTCAGAAAATAATGACAACAACAATGTAGCTTGTTGGTTTTGTAATCCAGTGTGACTCGAAGCAACAGTTCAACCTCATCGTCCGTCCATACTAATGTAGTACCAGCTCGCCCACTCGCCATGTTGTCTGTTTACAAAATTCCGCGCATGCCCACGGAAGTTTGGGCTTGATCCCGTCATTGCGTCACAGCGCCACCAACAGGTCTGGCATGGTTTCACAGCGTTTTCAGGCGTATTGACTACATTCATATGGACGCACACATTTACTGAGCTAACTCCGTGTTTACAGAAAAAGTTTCTGAAATTATAAGCGTTTTGTCTTCGTGTGGGTATAGCCTTATTCTGCCTCAAATGTAGATACATATCTGCATTTTAATAGTTGCTATCTTGATTGATAATCAAAATGTCCGTTGCTGCTCTTGACCAGGGACAGGCTACAGCTTTTTCTCATTGTTCAATTGAATTTTTAAGGTAGTGTATTATTCTTTTATTTTCCTGAGTATGATGTCTGCCAGAACATATTTGTTTTAGGGTTGGGCGATATGGGCCTCAGCATGTATCACGATTTTTGTTGGTATGTATCACGATATGACGATATGATAATTTTAACAAAGCCTCATATAAAAGCTATAAAAACTTAGCACTGATAATTTTAAACACACTTGCCTCAAAGTGCATTTACCGATTTATTGGCAGCAAAATGTGCAATACAGCTATTGTATATAAAACGTATTAACAAAACTGAATTGTAGAGAATTCTGTTTTGTACATACTGAAAATTGCAGGCAACATGTAATAAAGGTGAGCATTTGTAAAATATATAAAAGTTTGTCCTTTGTAATATAAAAAGTGTAGCATTATCAAATAATTATTTGATCACTTTGGCTTATGTTTCCTAATCCCAATATAGTCAAAATGATCAAATACTGTATATATTTTTTGTATCCTTTTGCGTTTCTATAATTATGTAATTATAACTTATTTGTAATTATATTGCAATGTAGACAAACACATGCATTGAAGTAAAATGAATGACAGTAAACAGTAAATAAAGCTTACCAATGGCACTATGAGAGAGAGAGCGAGAGCGAGTGTCCGAAGCAAGCCACTCGAGTCCAGTTGTTTAGGGAAGCTGCTTTCACAACATTAGATCCACTGTCGATAGTTACACACAATTGCTTCTTTTTATCTAGTTCCCAAACTACTCCCATATGTTTGAGGTAGCTCCGCGTTTTGGCACAATGTCTTCTACAATCTGCATGTCTTCACCATGGTCTTCACCGCCGCCCTCAGCCATGTTTGCTCTCTGCTCTGTTGTTGTTGTCCCTGCACGCCGCTCTGCTACACGTGCCGCGCAGATGCGTCATCAAAGTGCGCCGCACACAAACGTGTCTTCCGCTTGCTGTTTTCAGTGTTAAATGATCGTTTTCACCGGCATAAGGCATTTTCTTATCATTTAATTTACTTATACCGGTATACCGGTACAAAAAAAATATCGCCCAACCCTAATTTGTTTCTGTGCAGCAACAAAGAAAGTGTTGTTCTGGACAGAGGTGACAACAGACTGTTTTCAGACACACTCAAAAGGACAAGTGTGAGACGGCCCCAGATCGAGACAGTCCGATTACAGAGCTGTTGTGAAATGTGGGTCATGTTTGTTCAAGCCGCCGATGTTGTAATTGTGTTTTCTTTGACCTGCTCGTACTCGTTTTGTGATCGATCAGTTCGCGGTGCTCTGCGTTTGCTCCGCTATAATTAGACCTGATGTCACAATCTCAACATTTAGAGACGTGTGTATGTACAAAGTTTTTATCTTTTGTGGTCTCAATTAGAATTGGTATAGAACAAAACAACCCTTAGAGTTGGAGAACGTTTGAGAACTCTGTACTGAAATAATTTAAAAATCTCCAGTGTTAGCATAATGCAGAAGCAAGAATTTAATATAAAATCTCTAACTTAGCATTATGTGATGCTAGTTTGGTGACCGGTGATGTTGGGTGAAAATGTCTGCCACCAGCAAAAGCAGGGACAGGATATACAAGTGTCTTCCTTCTGTTCGTTTGTTCATGCCGCACAAATGTAAAGATCATGGATGATGGATGTATTATGACATGGACAAATAAGTTATTGTGAGAATGTGCAAATGAGTGTTCTTTAGATGTTATATGTATGACCTCTTAGTGATATAACTCAGTTTTCAGTGAAGCATGGATCAGCAGCGTTTTTATAATGTATAAGGTCTAAAGAATATAGTCATAATGTTGATGAACATTTTGACCAGTTTTTGTGTTACTTTAATAATATAAAAAGTTGATGAGAAAAAGATGACAATGTGGAATTATTCAAGATTTTCCTTTACTTCATTTTGGTTTGTTTTTATAGCTTTAATATTCTTTTATAACTAAATATACATGGAAACACTGGACTTGCTTAACCACCATGACCATGAACTAATCCATGACAGATTTTACAAGTATCCTCTCTGTATTAATATATATGTTTGTACCTCTGGTTGTATTGAATTCTTTTGGGGCTCATATCTCCACTCTGACAGGATTTGGTTTTTAAGCCCTGTTTTTGTAATAAATTCAGGTTATCTACTGCTTACTCTTGTGCAATGATATGAAAATACACTGGGACGATCTTACAGTGTAATATTAAATCCCCAAGGCCATATCTCCTCTTCATTAATCCTGGTTTTTCATCTTTCCAGATTAGCTTTGCACCGCAGTGAGCACAGAAAGAATACGTGTTATTCCATTCAAGTGACCAGCTGTTGTTTAGTTTGGTGGGAAGGGTAGGATTAAGACATTTCTATTGGTTGACGTGTCGTAAATCAGAGTTTTATCAAATCTTGTCAAAGTTGTGATTGGGTTTGAGAGAAATGAGAGGGACGGCGATGGCAGGCAGTGCGTTCGTAATAATATTGTTTTTATGCCCTGTTCGCCCTTTGCAAATGTCATGAAAAGGAGAAATAAGCCAAGCGGGATAAACATCTGTAAGAGCTGAGAGATTTGTGGAAATGAGATTCAAAGTATTTTCGTTTCTTTTTTGAAAAACATTGTGATCAGATTTATGTTTCAGAAATGTAAGAGTAAAATTTAAGATTGGGCATTCGACATTCACAACGACTAACGTTTTAGCGTTTACTACCGCTACTTAAACTTCTTAAAGCTGGGGTTCCTAACTTTCACACCAGTAATGTAATGAAATCGTTAACTAGCGTGCTTCTATCACTAGTAAACTAATCTTTTTCTGGCGGAAAAGTAAAAAAGAGAGGTCCACTTTTTCTCGGCCGATCAACCCAAAGCATCAAATAGTGACTCACAAGTAGATTTCCTAATTACGTACAGTGCCTTGCGAAAGTATTCGGCCCCCTTCAACCTTTCAACATTTTGCCACATTTCAGGCTTAAACATAAAGATATAAAAATATTTTTTTTTGTCAAGAATCAACAAGTGGGACACAATCGTGAAGTGGAATGAAATTTATTGGATAATTTAAACTTTTTTAACAAATAAAAAACTGAAAAGTGGGGCGTGCAATATTATTCGGCCCCCTTGCTCTAATACTTTGTAGCGCCACCTTTTGCTGCAATTACAGCTGCAAGTTGCTTGGGGTATGTCTCTATCAGTTTTTCACATCGAGAGACTGGAATTCTTGCCCATTCTTCCTTGCAAAACAGCTCGAGCTCAGTGAGGTTGGATGGAGAGCGTTTGTGAACAGAAGTCTTCAGCTCTTTCCACAGATTCTCGATTGGATTCAGGTCTGGACTTGGACTTGGCCATTCTAACACCTGGATACGTCTATTTGTGAACCATTCCATTGTAGATTTGGCTTTATGTTTTGGATCATTGTCCTGTTGGAAGATAAATCTCCGGTCTCAGGTCTTTTGCAGACTCCAACAGGTTTTCTTCCAGAATGGTCCTGTATTTGGCTCCATCCATCTTCCCATCAAATTTAGCCATCTTCCCTGTCCCTGCTGAAGAAAAGCAGGCCCAAAGCATGATGCTGCCACCACCATGTTTGACAGTGGGGATGGTGTGTTCAGGGTGATGAGCTGTGTTGCTTTTACGCCAAACATATCGTTTTGTACTGTGGCCAAAAAGTTCGATTTTGGTTTCATCTGACCAGAGCACCTTCTTCCACATGTTTAGTGTGTCTCCCAGGTGGCTTGTGGCAAACTTTAAACGAGACGTTTTATGGATATCTTTGAGAAATGGCTTTCTTCTTGCCACTCTTCCATAAAGGCCAGATTTGTGCAGTGCACGACTGATTGTTGTCCTATGGACAGACTCTCCCACCTCAGCTGTAGTTATCTGCAGTTCATCCAGAGTGATCATGGACCTCTTGGCTGCATCTCTGATCAGTCTTCTCCTTGTTTGAGATGAAAGTTTGGAGGGACGGCCGGGTCTTGGTAGATTTGCAGTGGTCTGATACTCCTTCCATTTCAATATAATTGCTTGCACAGTGCTCCTTGAGATGTTTAAAGCTTGGGACATCTTTTTGTATCCAAATCCGGCTTCAAACTTCTCCACAACTGTATCTCGGACCTGCCTGGTGTGTTCCTTTGTCTTCATGGTTCTCTCTGCGCTTTAAACAGAACCCTGAGACTATCAAAGAGCAGGTGCATTTATACGGAGACTTGATTACACACAGGTACATTCTATTTATCATCAGTCATTTAGGACAACATTGGATCATTCAAAGATCCTCACTGAACTTCTGGACTGAGTTTGCTGCACTGAAAGTAAAGGGGCCGAATGATATTGCACGGCCCACTTTTCAGTTAATTATTTGTTAAAAAAGTTTAAATTATCCAATAAATTTCGTTCCACTTCACGATTGTGTCCCACTTGTTGTTGTTTCATGACAAAAAATTAAAATTTTATATCTTTATGTTTGAAGCCTGAAATGTGGTGAAATGTTGAATACTTTCGCAAGGCACTGTAAATGCAGCATTTTGTGGTCTACTTTTTTCACAATATGTTTAAGTTTAAAATACTTTTCTCTAGACATTAGTGACATATCAATGACCAGATATCAATAAAAGTGTTGTATTTGTGTGTGTGTCCTTCTTTTCCCACTATAACCAATCCTTCCTCTGCTATTGTTTGGACTTTGGAGGCTGTTATAAGTTTGCGATTGCACATTTGAATCTCACACCAAGTTGATTTAAATTGAACAAATGTCCAGTTTGTCATGGTGTTTTGGTTTTGGGCAGGAACAGGCCTGAGGGGAAGATTTTGGAGACTGTCGGAGTGTTTGAAGCAGTGAAACAACACGGAAAATATGAAACGGGACAGGTACAGTGCAGTCTTGGCCTTCACTAAACTCACGTGCTGCAAAACGACAGATGCATTGTTTGCATTCATTTCAAATGTATCTACATGGCTCTGCATTTTGTTCCATTCACAAATATACATACAGTTGTGCTTTAAAGATTACAGAGCCAGAGATTTCATAATCGTGGCCATATTTAGAGATTATGACACTGGCGAGGTGACCCCAAAAAACTGGAGGCTTTTTTCCTAAGAATAATGGGCAGCTTTACCATCAGAGGATACAGAACCTCATCCACAACTACCACAAAAAGTGTAGTTGTGGATGAGGTTCTGTATCCTCATCCACACAAAGACCCCAAGCAGTTAAAGATGTTAAAGGGGCTCCACTCTAATGGAAACTAAATGGGGTCATTTCAGTAGTTTCTGTTGTTTTAATTTGAGAAGAAAACATGTTATGGCTTCACCCAACCACAATAAATGACAAGAATGGTTGGCGTTATCATTTATAATCTCCAAAATGTAGCCAAAAAAATCTAAATTTCTGCATCTATGTATACATTCAAGCACAACCCTTTAAAGAAATATATATGTTGTGAACAAAGAAAAGTAGCAGATTTCCGACATCTTGTTAGGCCATAATCCAATCTGCACAAGCGACTCTTAAACCATTTATTGCTGTAATCCCATTATTCCTCACAGTTGTGCATGTTTTTCCTCAGCTCTTTCTGCACAGTGTTTTTGGATACAGAGGGATCGTCCTGTTCCCGTGGCACGCCAGACTCTACGACCGCGACGTCACCCCTCCCATGTCCGACAGGTGAGCTTACCTACACCTGTTATGTAGAGTCGCAGGTAATTTCTGCACTACAACTTAGAATACTGGGCCATCCACATTTTAAATACTTTTCTCTCTAAGTATTCTTAGATTGATGCAGACACAACTCTCATTTATCATCCTTTTATACGCTAATCTTGGAATGAAAATGTGTTTATTATCAAGCGGTTACACTGAAGTGTACAGTATAATATGCATAAGATATTTTGTTACTTTAACTCAGGACATGAGTTTTACTCAAGTTTTACAACATTAATCAACATTTTTCTTTTTCAGTGCTAATTCTCTCCATATATGAGACGTTTTTTGCTAAAACCAATTTATGTATTTTAATCCGGGTTTCGCTGCGAGTGACTGCGTGAAATCAAAAGCACAGGTTAAACTCCTGCACTTCATCCTGAGGTTCAGCAGTTATACAAAAGTCCATCTCTGGGCTGTAAGCCAGTCTTAAAGAGACAGACGGGGTCCACAAAAAGGTTCTGTGCCCTGCTGCGCCTGGGGATTTTGGCTATTTTGGGCACACCCTGGAGCACAGCCGTAACTTGTTACTGTTTTCTGTTTCCCAGTAAACCAGAGCCACCTGGAGCTCACGGCTCAAAGGAGGTGAAAGGCAAAACTCACACCTACTACCAGGTCCTGATCGACACCAGAGACTGCCCCCACATAGTACGTCTGAAATTTTGCTACTTTTAGATCATGTTTGTTTTTTATTTTGTAATTATTCGGAGGATCCTAATGTTATGTACATAATTTATACCTCCTATCTATCCTTTCATTTTATTAATAAAACTTATGAAACAGAAGTTAATTTCTATGTCTTCAGCGGTCTCAAGTATTTCCTTTTACATTCTTGACCATTTGCCATTCGGATAAAGATTAAAGCCAGAACAGACTTTTTTTCATCACCTCCTTTTTGGAGGAGTTATTTGGACGTTGGCAATTACATGGTAATTTGGGAACAGCCTCTAGAACCGCCTTCTGTATTTTGTTTGTTATTAACACAAGATGCTTAGTCACATCATTGTGCTAATGTGAAATTCATGCTTCAGTAAGTAAGTAATCTTTATTCGTACAGCGCCTTTCACAGACCAGAGTCACAAAGCGATTCAAAGTCATTTTTAATAAGGCACACACAAGATCGCTTCCCACTTTGTGTTAGATTTATAGCACTTTTCTCATTTTGAGTTGTAACCAATCCTTGGTTTTGTTTTGCTCAGTCTCAAAGATCCCAGACAGAAGCAGTGACATTTTTGGCAAATCACGACGACAGCCGAGCCCTGTACGCCATCCCAGGTCTGATCCCCTCTGCACAAACACAACAGCACACATTTCACTTTTGCAATTTTCAGTATTTGTGTTTGAAGATGTGTGGAAAGCATGTTTTTTCTCCAATTTCATGGATTGTCAAGAGGCCTCATATACGCCAAATTAACTTGATTTAAAATGTATTCAACTCTAGGTTCATACAGACATGGAAAGGTTCTAAAATGTTGAGGCTGGAATAGATTTGAGATAAGAAATGTATTTGACTAGATGGACCTTTTTATTAAAACTCATGAATGGCACATATTGGAATTGGGATTATATACTCTAAAACCATGGATTTATGCTCAGATGTTGTGTCTAATTTGAATATCTTATTGACTCTTACATTTCATTCAAGTCCAAGAAAGAAAATGGGAAGGGTTTTGAATACATACATTTGCACAGCTTCTAACTCATTTTTTTTTCTGTGTTATTGCTTTGTTAGATATTCTTAGATATACTAACTACTTACTTGTAACCATTTTATTTCTAATCTTCGCCCTAAACAAATTTCAATAAATTAACTGTAAAACTGTTTTTAATTCCCAATGAATTAATAATCATGTACCGACTGTTTTTAGGTCTGGATTACGTGAGCCATGAAGACATCCTCCCCTATCACTCCACAGAGCAGATTCCTATCCAACATGAACTTTTCGAGCGCTTCCTTGTCTACAACCCATCCAAAAGTAAACCACCAACACACAGTATTTCTGTTATTTATTACGTACAATTTTTTTATTTTATTAAAAAGCACTAAACGGTGAAGTATCAACATTGTGGACTTCTTGATGTATATGGAATCAAAATTGATAGTAGTTTAGACATTTAAATGATTGTATTGTAAGCATGTATCTAGTATCACTATGAATCTTAATCATAGCTCTAGTTAACGGTTAACTTTTCCCTCAGCTCCTCCGTTCACGCCCCGCGACACGCTGAAGGCCTGGCAGGAGAAGAACCACCCTTGGCTGGAGCTGTCGGACGTCCACCGGGAGACCACCGAGAACATCCGTGTGACTGTGATCCCCTTCTACATGGGCATGAGGGTCAGTCACCACAGCACGGTCTGATCGCACAAGTTTACAAATCCATTTTTCATCACTTTGCTTCTGTTTTTAGGAGGCCCAGAACTCTCATGTTTATTGGGTGAGTAAAATATTTGCCTTTTGTTTTTACATTTGTGCTCAGTAGAAGCTAATAAACTGTCTTAAGACCAAATATTCAATTTTGGTAAGCACCTTCCAATAATCCAAGCCTTGCACAGTGCTGGTGTGAATGCATGGATATGGTACAAGTGTGCTTAAAGCTGGGGACACTCGCAATTGCATTTATTTTTCCCATTATTTTCAGACATAAATCGTCTCATCCTAAAATGACAGTTGTGATTATTTCTGTCACATAGTCTGGTTCTGATGCAACTGGAATCAATGTTCCAATTTTTAGAGTGGCCCTAGGAAAGACAACTTAACCTTAGCCTAAAAATTTTCTAGTTTGTCCCCAGTTTGAGTGGCTGCAATAAAGGCTGAGTTTACACGGAGACAATGTGGCAATAAAACGGTATAGTTGGATGTCGGTTGCTACCAACCGTTCATACGAAGACTGTGTTCCAGGGGGGTCAAAACGTAAGTGTTCAGATCCAGCCTGCAGAGTGGGACAACTCAGATACGCTGCAAAGCGGGGAGCTCTTTCACACCCGCGAGAGGGGAAAAGGTGTGAAATCCCCCTCTGCTCTGACCCCCACCTCCGCGCTGCTCCCCGCACGTAAATTTGGACATGCGCAGTAGCGGAGAACAAACATAAACAACAATGGCGCCGCGCGCACTAACTAGCTTCGTGGGCTTCCAGCGCGGGACAGAGGATAATTCTACACCTTCGTTCGTCCAAACGAGACCACCCGAAGCTCTAGGTTCAGTTTTCATTTTCACAGCTGCTGTTAAAATGGAGAATGATGTTGGTACTTTCTGAGGGTCTGGCACAGGAAGTGAGTATACTGCCGAGAGGGGGGCTGGGCACGGGGCTGGGGGTCGTGTGAGTGTGTAAAGTTTCTCTGCCCACTACTGGCCGGGTGCTAGAACTACATCGTTTTTCAACCTCATGTGAACGCTGAGAAATTTGCATTAGGAGCCTGGTCGTTTCTGTTAGTAGCCTGGAAACGTCTCAGTATAAATAGGGCCAAAGAAGCACACATTTGTCAGAGTGGGATTTCTACAAGGATGATTTTAAGTTTGAAATATACACTGCTCAAAAAACCTTGGCACACTCAAAAAACACATCCTAGATTTCAATCAATTCGATTTGTTGATGAAAATTTGTATTCATAGTGTTTTGAGAACAAAACAACACAAGAAAGATAAATGGAAATCAAATTCTCAGCCCCTGGAGGTCTGGATCTAAAATTATAGTCAAAATCAAAGTGACAAATGAGGTAACTGGTTGATCCAAATTCTGTAGAAATTCCTCAAAACGAGTCTTTATCATCCTCAGTAGTATGTGTGGCCTCCACGTGCCTGGATGCACTCCCCACAACGCCTGGGCATGTTCCTGATGAGACCATGGAGGTCCTCCTGAGGGATCTCCCCCCAGACCTGGATTTGAGCATCAGTCAGCTCCTGGACAGTCTGTGGTGCGACGTGGCACCACACGTGGATAGACCGAGACATGATGTCCTAGATGTGCTCTATTGGATTTAAGTCTGGGGAACGGGCGGGCCAGTCCAAAACATAAATACCTTCATCATGCAGGAACTGCTTACCCACTCTTGTCACATGTGGCCTGGCATTATCATTCATCAGAAGGAACCCAGGGCCCACAGCACCAGCATATGGTCTTACAATAGGTTTGAGGATCTCATCCCGGTACACAATGCCAGTCAGGGAACCGCTGGCCTGTCTCCTGGTATCTCCTCCATTCTCTGGACTCTGCGCTGGGAGACACAGCAAACCTTCTTGCCACAGCACAAATGGACGTGCCATTTTGGATGAGCATCACTCCCTGAGCAACTTCTGTGGGTTGTAGATGCCTCCTCATGATACCTCTAGTGGTGAGAACACTGGACAAATGCAAACGTGTTCCAAAAATACGTTACAAAGGAGGAAGACTGGGAAATGGTAATGACAAAACCATTCCTCTTTTGGAGTGATCTTGCTAATTGCCTCTCATTTCCACCTGTTTTTTGAGTGTGCCCTTAGTTTTTGTGAGCAGTGTATATCAGGGGTGACTCATCTATAATTTATGCAAAGGCCTCTAACCTTATTATTCTTTCTTATCAAGAATTTAATTGCACCTAATGTAGCATTAAAATGTCTTCAATGTTGTCAAATTTCTCTTGACCAATTTAGGAGCTTCCCAGGTTTCAAAAAGGGTATTAAATATGAATTTGGATGCAGCCATAGATTTATTTGTTAAGACAGCTCTTGATCCCAGTGAGTTTGTACTACAACACAATTACATTCATGTTTTCTCATTCTAGTGGCGATACTGCATCCGCTTGGAGAACATGGGCAGTGAGGTAGTGCAACTGAGGGAGCGACACTGGAGAATCTTCAGTTTGTCTGGAACTCTGGAGACTGTCCGAGGCAGAGGAGTTGTGGGACGGGTGAGGGCCATGTTTTCTATCTTTGCTTACAGAGAACCACTTATATTCCAGATCTAGTCTATTGTAGAATAATGTTATCTTACTGGCTTAACGTATTTTTTTGTTTTTACAGGAGCCTGTGTTGTCAAAAGAACAGCCAGCCTTTCAGTACAGCAGTCATGTGTCTTTGCAGGCCCCTAGTGGTCACATGTGGTAAGTGTAACAAATATGTAATATACATACAGTGGGGCAAAAAAGTATTTAGTCAGCCACCGATTGTGCAAGTTCTCCCACTTAAAATAATGACAGAGGTCTGTAATTTTCATCATAGGTACACTTCAACTGTGAGAGACAGAATGTGAAAAAAAAATCCAGGAATTCACATTGTAGGATTTTCAAAGAATTTATTTGTAAATTATAGTGGAAAATAAGTATTTGGTCACTTAAACAAGGAAGGTCTCTGGCTCTCACAGACCTGTAACTTCTTCAACTCATTCACTGCTCATGACGACAAAAGTTGTTCTATTGTATAGTGACGCTCACTGCCCAAGACGACTTAGACGACTTTTTCGTGTTATTACACGGGAGGCTGCAGTAATGTCTGGCCCACCTTGTTAATGACCCACAACACTGATATATAGTGCAAATGTACCTGTAATGATAAATCGCCACCAGTAGGATGCAGTATTGCACCACAGGAGAGGTCATAAGTCAGTGGAGAGAAGGAGGAGGAGTGTGGGGTCTTTGGAGAGCGTGCTGCTGTAGCAGAGCGATGATAGCGTAGCATTGAGACGGATCAGCGATCTAGTTTAGCGATAGTATAGCAAGAGTGATGGCGAAAAAGAATAGTTATAAGCAGCTGACACTGCTTCAGAGATTGACTCGCGGATCAGTGAGTGAGGTCGAGAGGGGAGAGAGTGGAGACCCCGGTGGAGGTCCGTCTCTGCAGCCATATTTGCGCGGAGCAAGAGCCCCGAGCAGAGACACACCTTCCGCCTCTCGCAGCGTATCAGCTGCTGTTGTTACTGATGCCTCGGATTTGTTCAGCAAACCTGATCATGATTTATCGGACACACTCACAAACACTCACACGCACTCACTCACTCACGCACACAGACACTCACTCGCACACTGACATTCACACACACTGACATTCACACACACAGACACTCACTCACACAGACACTCACTCGCACACTGACATTCACACACACACACACTCAAATTCACATGCTTCATTCTATTTTATACATCTATAGTTTTATTGATCTTTGTGTTGTTGTTGTTTGACGTTTTGGTTGATGGAATAGAAGAAAGTTAAATTTTCTATCTGTGAATAAATTGCCAACAATTTGCCATCAAAAGTATTATTTCAGAGTCATGTTTTTATAATTTTTGTAATGGAACAAGTTTGGAGATGTTTTGAGTTGTCACTAAAGCAGCAAAAATGCATCTAAAAGTCTCTTTTCTGCTTGATATGTTCCTGTTTACATACAGCTCGTTTCCTCTGTTTTCTTGCTCAGACCAGGTGTTGTGGGTGAAAGTATGCTTTGTTCTATGGCGAATAACGCAAGAACGGTAAGAGGTAGAAACAAACTGTTTTTTTCAGAGTAAAGCAGAGAGGTGAATCTTTAATTTGGTGCCCTTGGTGTTTACATCGTCTAAAAAATGAATATTCTGTGGCACTTCAAAGTTGGGTCAAATCACCTGAAATTGCTGGCAGAATGCACTTCTCAAATCTGAAAATGCCTGGCAGTCAGTGAGTTAAGCTCTTCTGTCCTCCACTCGTTACCTGTATTAATGGCACCTGCTCGAACTCGTTATCTGTATAAAAGACACCTGTCCACAGCCTCAAACAGTCAGACTCCAAACTCCACTATGGCCAAGACCAAAGAGCTGTGGAAGGACACCAGGAAAAGAATTGTAGACCTGCACCAGACTGGGAAGAGTGAATCTACAATAGGCAAGCAGCTTGGTGTGAACAAATCAACTGTGGGAGCAATTATCAGAAAATGGAAGACATACAAGACCACTGATAATCTTCCTCGATCTGGGGCTCCACGCAAGATCTCATCCCGTGGGGTCAAAATGATCATGAGAACGGTGATCAAATATCCCAGAACCACACGGGGGGACCTGGTGAATGACCTGCAGAGAGCTGGGACCAAAGTAACAAAGGTTACCATCAGTGACACACTACGACGACAGGGAATCAAATCCTGCAGTGCCAGACGTGTCCCCCTGCTGAAGCCAGTGCATGTCCAGGCCCGTCTGAAGTTTGCCTGAGAGCACATGGATGATACAGCAGAGGATTGGGAGAATGTCATGTGGTCAGATGAAACCAAAGTTGTTTGGTATAAACTCAACTCGTCGTGTTTGGAGGAAGAAGAATACTGAGTTGCATCCCAAGAATACCATACCTACTGTGAAGCATGGGGGTGGAAATGTCATTCTTTGGGACTGTTTTTCTGCTAAAGGGACAGGACGACTGATCCGTTTTTAAGGAAAGAATGAATGGGGCCATGTGTCGTGAGATTTTGAGACAAAACCTCCTTCCATCAGTGAGCGCTTTGAAGATGAAACATGGCTGGGTCTTCCAGCATGACAGTGATCCCAAAACCACCCGGGCAATGAAGGAGTGGCTCCGTAAGAAGCATTTGAAAGTCTCCAGACCTCAACCCCATTGAAAATCTGTGGAGGGAGTTGAAAGTCTGTGTTCACTGCTCTCGAGAAGATCTGCATGGAGGAATGGGCCAAAATACCAGCTACTGTGTGTGCAAACCTGGTAAAGACCTATAGTAATCGTTTGACCTCTGTTATTGCCAACAAAGGTTATATTACAAAGTATTGAGTTGAATTTTTGTCATTGACCAAATACTTATTTTCCACCATAATTTACAAATAAATTCTTTAAAAATCCTACAATGTGCATTCCTGGATTTTTTTCCCCACATTCTGTCTCTCACAGTTGAAGTGAACCTATGATGAAAATGTCAGACCTCTGTCATTATTTTAAGTGGGAGAACTGGCACAATCGGTGGCTGACTAAATCCTTTTTATCCCCACTGTATCTCTACATATTGAAAGCTTTTAACCCCATAAATATTATTTCCTGTGACATTTACCTGAGCTGTGAATGGGAAGTTGTTGAAACCCAAAATGTGGTCATTTTACAGTCAAATAGATAGAATCCTAACCATACCCTTCTTGTTATATTACCAGAGAAACTGTAGGTAGACTTGAGCGTTTGGGCTTTCTCTGTGCTGTGATTATGCTCACTTAAGCTTCACAAAGAGTCCTGGTGTTTGCTTGTACTCCAGAGGGTTCTCAGACAGATTCACAGAAAATGAGTTAGATATTTTAGAGTAGTAAAAGTCTGCATTAAGGGCTATAGATGATTTATGACTCCTTGTTCAGCCTTCTGAGTTGGTTCAACAACTTTATAATGTCTCCTCTTTGCTTCCAGGGGGACATTCCGCATTGAGAGAACGGATGGTTCCCACTTTGACGTTCGCATTCCTCCTTTCTCCTTGGAGAGCAACAAAGACGACAAAGCGCCACCTGCCGGTTACACGTTTTAATTACAAAAATCCCTGAAACCCTAATGTTTGGATCCTTGTGCTGGGATCACCTGTTTTTTTTTTTTTCTAATGCTGCCCCTTTTTGCAGTTTAAGAAGCCCCTCTGCCTTCAACGTAAATACTTTTTGATAAGGGAAAATGAACATGACTGTCTACAATAGGAAATATGGCGAGAAATGCAATGATTTCTGGGAAGCTTTTTTTAGATAATTATTTTCTTTTAAGTTGCTCTTACATGTTACCGAAATTACCCAAAGATGACGTCTTCTCTAAAATGTGCTTGTATTAATGAAATGATGAAGGACCTGTATTCCCGGGCACAATCTTCATTATTTGTAAGTGGTAGCTGAGTAAAACGGAGAAAATTGGTGAACATTGATCATTGGTGAATCACAGTAAAATTGCTTTATTTTTTTCTGGGAGACATCTAAGCTTCCTCATTGATGGTAGTTATCCAGGGATTACAAATTTATTTTTTTAATAACATTTGACATAATGGTGCTCGAGGTGAAAATCCGTTCTTAAAGCTGGGATACCTATCTGTTTTACTATAAATAAGACGGGCAAAAAAATTCCATTAATTTGTAAAAACTAGTGATAGAGCGAGCAACTCGTTGTATGGATTACATTACATTGTTGTAGTTTCAAAGTTATGTACCCCAGCTTTAATCTTTCTCCCTTCACCTCTTATTGTATCTTCTCAACCCGTATGCTGTCCTTGGGTCGATTTTCTTGCTCAAGGATATTTTTTTGCTGAAATTTCCTAACCTCACTGACCCTCAGCAGAGCGACCCCAGAAGGATATTGTGGGGATTTGGCCTAATTGGAGAAATAAATCCCTCAAATAATGTCTTTCATGATATCTGTAATATTATTTTGTGCCATGTTAGACTTATTTATTTGTGATCAATCTTGGCACTTTTTTTTCTTTAGTCCTATCATTTGTCATCTTTGTCTTACTGTGGTTCAATGCGCTTAATGTTTTTCAATAGGACACCATTACTTGGCTGTAAACGTCTTCTATTTAAATGAAAATTTGTTTATTTTATTTAATTTTTTTTTTTACTTTGACTATGGCACTTCTGTTTTATGCCTTTCGAAATCCCTACTGGAATAAATTCTCATTGTTTTTAAAAGCAATAGATGCATGTTAGAATGACATGCCAATAAAAAAAAATAAAGTTATTACGAAGAGTGTTATTTAAATTCTAAATGTTTATCTCGAGCGGATCCTCTTGATGGCTGAGTGCGTCTGACGTGATTTGCAATAAGTCGCATAACCATTATTGTTTTTGTTTCAAATTGGAGGATTTCTGGTATGAGAGTCAATTGCAAGCACCTGTGATAGTTGAATACTGTAAATGGATATGTAATTCAAATAAATATTCCTTATGAAAATTGTGCACTTCGGTATTTTTATCAATGTTTTAAGTTTGTAATACCAGTCGCCACCACCAGATGCCAGTGTAGACCAACTGAGGGTTTACAGGAGCGGGTAAAATAAGGAAAAAATGCATGTGATTTTATGTAGAACATTTTCAAGATTTTCCCAACAAATTAACGATTTATTGAAGTGATAATGCGTATTACCAGGTAAATCACTGGAAACTTGGATTTTAAACGTTTTTGGCTGCTTTTGGAACGGCCATTGATGAAGGTAAAAAGCTGCACGTGCGAAGTTCATTTGAAATTAAGCTAAAACTAAGTCAGCTAGCGTTGGCTAAACGTGAATCTGTACAATTAATCTTCACGTAGCAAATAATAAATGCTGATGTTACTTGCAATTCAAATCTGTAAAGCTGTCACGGTATAATATTGAACAATCTTTATTAAAGGGACAATTGAACAATTCAAAAATACAATTCCCTACTAAAATGACAATACTATACTAATACATGTGTAGTGGGTTTACTTGCCTTTTACAATAACTTTTTTTAATGGACTACATATTAAACTATGCTGTTCCAGGCTAGTATATAATCGGCTATTACAATTTGAGTTTTTATTTACTCATAATGGACTTTACGAATCCCAAAGCGCTGCATTAAAAGAGGCCAAAATGTACAGGTTAAATGAATGAATGAATGATGCGTGTATTAGTTACAGAATGGGGAAATAACAAACTCAAAAATAAAGAATTACGTAGCTACTATATTATGGGGGAAAAAAAAGTTTGCAACAATATATTTGTTTTATTTATTTATTTACATATTTTTCCCACGTCACTATCATTGGAATTATACACAGAAGCCCTTTTTGTCTGATCGTGACTATATATAGGGATTTCTTTTTTTAGGGGTTTTTTGCTCTCAAGGACTAGAGTTTCTTCCCTCCCTCCCTCCCTCCCTTTGCAAAACCTCATTCACACAGCACCATCAGCAGCAGCAGCAGTAGCAGCATCACTCAAGACGAGACAGGACACTCTGCTCTGGCTGTTTTGGAGTGCTTTTTGGGTCAAATTTCCGCTGGTTTTCACGCTTAGGCCATTCATGCAAGAATATAAAAACATTCATTTGGAGAATACGCGACTGACGATGGCTTTTTGAGCGAGGAAAAAGCCTGCTTCGTTTCGCCTTTCTTTCCCTGTACAGTGGACGTAAACATTGCCATGCCCTGCCACTGCCAATGCACCAGTCCTTCTTCGACTTTATACACGGATGCGAAATGACTGGGTGTGAAAAGGCAGTGGATATGGCTGGTTTCAGGGATGTAAACAATCAGAAGTTTCGCATGGGATAGGAGGGAATCTGTGGGATAGAGGTACGGGCCATTTTGCGCGAAAGATCACAGCCCACGTCCCGACTTGGATGCTGCCCTCTACGGCCATGCTGCAGGCGATAGACCCACAGACATTGGATCACGAATTGCGCACGAAAACAGATGCTATTTCGTCATCTCACGTGGACCACTTACTTCTAAATGCGCTGTTGTTTTGAATCGGTTCGTGCGTAAAGCTCCACCTCCTAAAGAGCACCTGCCCCATCACTGAACAACAGTGAGGGGAGGATGCTGTGTGCAAAGTCTGGGGCCAATCGAGGACATAAGGTGAGAGATTATGTAGATTTAATACTCTGAGCATGTATGGGGTTAAATAGTTGAAGCTTGTAGGGAGTATCCATCTGCATGTATTAGGGGAAATATTGACAAAATGCATGTATCTTTAGATAAAGAGTCCCTGGAGAACCCTATTACTGCTGGCAACTGGTTTTGCATCATGTATTTTGTTAATACTTTACCTAAAATTATAAAATCCTTTTGTTTGTTCTGCTGTTCTACCTCTGAATTTAGATTTTCTCCAATCTGATACTTGATACTTTAGATTTAGTATGTCATCTTGATATTTTTGACATCGAGGGTCATTTTCACTGAACAACACATGGAATTATGCAAAATTGCCATGAGATGAACTGATAAACCAAATTGGATCGTGAGAAAATGAAACTACATTGTCAGGTTTACAATTCTTGCCTCAAAACATGGCACTACTTTTTGAGCCATGACCGACTCTCATCAGTTTACTCCTGTGCACAATCTCAGAGCAGCTTTCTCTTGTGAGATCTGACCTCACTGTACATTTTTACTAAATTATTAGAAATATCCTGGGCGCTTTTCCTGGGAGGAGATCCCGGGGAAGACCCAGGACACGTTGGAGGGACTCTGTCTCTCAGCTGGCCTGGGAACGCCTCGGGATTCCCCGGATGAGCTGGAGGAAGTGGAATGGAAGTTTGGGCCTCTCTGCTTAGACTGCTGCCCCTCGACCCGGGAACAAATAAAGCGGAAGAAATTTGATCGATAGATGCATGCTAGCAATATTTTTGTGTCTGTTATTATTTACAGATGACCATCACTAAACAAGAAAACACCGAGCCCGAGCTCTCCTCCATGGGTGTAGCGCTACATTCCAGTACAAAAATTAAAAAGCCACTGCATGTTTGTGCACAAAGTTAGAGTATGCATTTGCAATAGCTGTAGGTAAAAAATGATTCATAAAATGATTCATCTCATTATGTCATTTTTAAATCCTTCAGGGTGCTATGGAATTGCGTGAGTTTTGGTTATTGTAGCTTCCGTGCAATAGGTTGGAGACCCCTGGACTGGTCTATGACCTTTTTTGATTGATTGTACCTGTAATTACGAAGGCACCCTGAAACACAAAGTGAAGCATGGCCCACTTTGATACCAGACAAATCACCTGTTATGGTGGTTGTGTTTGGTTTTGATAGAAATCAAGTTGCTCATTACGGTAGCAGAGGCTGCACTTGTTTGTTGCCACAACAGCAGTCAATTAAAGTCAAAGCAACAAAAATGTGTCCCCATTTTGCCACTGCACTAAGTGCTCCTCTCCATGGAAACAGGTGTAAACAATTCCTGCATCTTTGTCAATCCATTGGTTCCTGATTCTTGAGAAGAGCAGGCAGTGATTCTCAATGTGGGAAGTGCACTGTACTAATCTAGTGAGGCGACGGATGATTTCAAGAAACTTCTTCTAAACTTAGGGTCTCCAACCTTTTCCCTTGTAGAGATACTTTTTAAGATACTTAGACAGTCAAAAGTAATTCATAAAGAGATTCATAAAATAAGATTTACAAATGGAAATAAGTCTTATTTCAAGCATGGTATAGAAATTGTATTACTTGTTCCATCCAAATCTTGTAAGGCCATCAAAATGCAATTTCGTACTCATTTTGTTTGAAAGCTAAAGTAAGCATTTACAATAGCTTTAGGCAGTGACTCAAAAAATGATCCTTTGTGGAACTACTTAGCAGGAAGTGGTGAGCTACTGGTAACTCCTGAGCTATAGGGGAACACTTTTCACTTTAATACACTTTTTTTTTAACTATGATAATTAAAATGAAATTAGGTGATACAAAGAAACTACAATGGACTTTTACACATTTTTAGAATATAATAGCTTTCTTGTCTGACATGCGCATTGATGACAGTATTGTGTCTGTGGCTTACATTTCAAGACAAGCACAGCCTTTAATTAAATTATAACGAAATTAGCAGGATTTGTAACATATTTATGACATTTTCCACAAACAGAAATGCTCAGTCCACCCAACGGACCAAACCTGCAATATTCCTATTGTGAGAGCGATAACCAGACTCTATGATCAAATCAGAATGAGAATTTGCAGACTTTAAGTTTCATTTGAAAGTGTCTCTTTAAGTTAAACAGATCATATTCGATTTTTGTGACGGTGATTATTTGCTGCTGTTAGATGACAAATATAGTTCAGCCTAATCTTCTTATCTTTTCTGTAATATTATTATACCTGCATGGGATTAAATGGTCTTTCATGGGGCTTGTTTTATTGGAGTGCACTGTGTGGTCTGTGCTGAAGTAGGAACAGGATGTACACATTTTTATCTGTATTTTCTCTAATGCAGGATACCGTAGCTGTGGACCTCTCACATCATCCACTGCAGGTGCCCCTTTGTTTCCGGAGACAGTGTGGCATTTGAAACCTGAAATGTATCCCTAGACTTTTTGCCCCCTGCCAACTTTGCCATGACCGGAGAATCGGAAACATTTAGAGACGCCGCCCGCTGCGTTGGTTCTCGTTATCACAGCTCATTGTAAGGGGAGACACGATGGGGGCCAAGCAAACCAAAGGACAGGATTCAGCGGGGCCCAGTCCTCAACACAGCTGGAAGAGGACTCCGACCAAAGAGCGCGGGAGCGACATTCTGGCCTCCCTCATGATGAAGTCCGGGGACAGGCTGAACCGAACCGGAAGCCCTCCTCCACCGTACCAGCGACGCATCGGGATGATACAGGAGATGATGCTTCTGGCCAAACAGGGGAAGCACGACGAGGCTACAGAGATGCTCAAGACACTACGACAGGTAACAACACGGCTGATCCTTGTGATCCTTGTGATTGCTTAAGTTACTTGAATTCTTGTCTAAAATGTGAGTAATCAAAATCAAATATGAGCCAACAGCATCAAGTGGGAAGCACAGCGGCACGGTTTATTGCAATCAAATCAAAATAGCAGTTTTCGTGGTTGCAATTTATTAAAGTTATTTGCAAACATAGAAGGGACTAAAGATAAGCACCCCAGGAAGAGCAAAAAAATCACATAAACTCAGGAAAATGTCTGTTGATTTGAAGATTTCCCCATGGAGTATGCAATTATCTTTCGTCTTGTTGTCGGGCAGAAGCAGTATTCAGTGTCAGTTTTTCATTATTGATATAAAACATATAATGACAACATTATCGATAAAACTGAACCGTCAAAATGGTCTGATTTGAAGAATTGATTTAATGCGGATTTATCTATCGAACATATTTGCAGTGAATATCTTATTTCTATTAGGAAAAAAATAGCTGTAGTTTAGGTTTGGACTTCAAAATCATGTAATGTATGGAAATTAAGGTAATTGCTTCACTTTTTCTGATGGAATTTTATTGTATTTATTACCTTGAAAAAAATCATTCTGTATGTTTATAAAGTATCAACAATCACATTGCAATGTAAGTAGGGGTGCAACGGTTTGAAAAAAATCACGGTTCGGATCGTACCTCGTTTCAGAGCCCTCGGTTCGGTTAATTTTTCAAATCAGCAAAAAAAACAAACAAAGTTTTATCTTTTTTTATAAACACTTCATTATTAATAAATTAAAATGTGTAAAATCAAATTAAAGTGCACAAGGCATATTTTCCCAACTGAATAATCAAGGCTCCTGTGGACTCAGCACCTGCAAGAGGATCAGTGAGGGGTTGGTGCTCTGTGTACTGGGTGCAGCTCTGACTACCACCCCCCTGACCTAGAAATGGATTAAGGGGAAGAAAATGGATGCTATCCATCCATCCAATTATGTCTTCTTAACATAATGAATGAAAAACAACACAAAGTGCTACATAAGACGGCACTTTATGAGGGTATTTACCCTCATATATTAAACCACCTTCCTGATTCTCCCAAGGAGGCGGTCCATTCTGGGCCCAGTCCAGCCTCATTCACTGCATTTATTTAATTTTTGGAATTATCAATTGTGACTGGGATATTAGTACTGGGCCTCTTTGTCTTCCATTCCTCCACTGCTTGTGTCTGTACCTGCACTGTCCCACTAAGCAAGCCGACGTTGAATTCCAACGTCATCTGACGTTCATTCAAGGTTGCAATGTGTACAGAACCGGTCGGGTCCCGACGTCCGTCTTATCTCGACGTCTTATATGACCAAAATATTGACGTTTATATGACGTTCGTTTTCAGTCGTTCCCACACTAAGCAAGCAGATGTCAAAACAACGTAATTCCAACGGGTCATCTGGGACGTTCATTCAAGGTAGAACCTTATCCAGAATTTTAAAAACGCCTTGCCTAGAGATCCTGCATCCATGCAGCAAACACATTCAACTGTTTGAGGGTAACTGTGCCATCTGGGCAATAAACGAGTAAACACAGCATTCAAAACCATTATCGAACAACCTGACTAGTACTTGAAGGCACCTATCAGTCTATTATTGCAAATGGAGCAGCATTAAAAAATCATGATACTACTCTACAACAAAGTAACAAGTATTGGAATCCACAACAGGGCACAGTGTTATGAACACTACTGTACTGAACAGTTCATGCCAAAGTAAAAAAACATGATTGTAGCGCCTATGTTTGGATCAGTATTAAAACAGGCACAAGCTACACTCTAGGTTCCCCAGATGTAAAAACACAATCTGAAAGGCAGAAGAATGCATTTATTGAATGTTGATGTTCCAACATGTGTCCTCTCTTGGTCTTCAGTCTCTCATCACAAGGTCCAAGCACAGCACCTGGAAATGTGGAACATGTTTAGTTTCAACATAATGTGGCAAAGTGATATAACAACACATAACTTTCTATTAATGCCTCAAACCACTCGATCCATCACCATGTGATACAAACCTTGGCACTGCACTAGCTCGAGACACTGGAAGACACTCCGTCTGAGAAACTTGGGATAAGGCTTTGGTCATTGGAGTAATTCCATGTAAAAAACAATTGCAAATGTGCATTTGTTTTGCACATGGACACAAATGAGCCCTGAAAGCTACTTACCCTGTATTACTCTACACATGTCGCATTTCCGAGCGGGCATTTTCCCCTTGTTGCTCTTTTCCCTCATCATGAGTGAGTTGCTGAACAATCTGAGAAAAAGATAGATGTTTTCAAAGAGAATACACCAAATAATGGTTTATTCTAAAAACAACATATTAATACAGAACAACAATCAATGTGTGAGAGTGTGATTCTTACCTTTGAACACCTTCAACACAGTCTGACACCTGTAAGACTCAAACACACATGACACATTAGGAATACACATAGAACATTAGTTATTGCAACAATCATGAAATTATACTCTATGGATTTCACAAAAAATTGACTGCATTAGCAAAGGTAAATGTATTTTAATTATCATATGGCTGGTTTTAATGTTTATAAGAAAAAGTAAGAAATTGAATAGAGTTGCAAGCGCTAGTTAGCTTGCTACCAGCAGATGAATGGATATTTAATATTTGCAGCTAACAATAACAAAAATAACGACTGTAGTGGCTCATTTGAACAGCCACAGTGAGAAGAAGTGAAAGTCTCTGACATTGAAGACCTGGGAAGACATTAAATCCATTTATTAAACAAAGCAATACATGAACATTAAACTCTCTTTCTGCAGCAGGTAACATCTGTGTGCTCCTATGGTCCCTATGGTCCCACATGGTCCCACACCTGAACTCAACTCCAACTGATGACATCACAGGTGTCTAAATGATGGGAGTGTCCCAAATATTAAAGCTGATCTCCCTGTTTTTAAACTTAGTTTACTAAGTACTGTTGTCTTTTTGCAGTTTATAAACCATTGTGAAATATACAGTAACTTTACATTTTAGAATTGAATTATTATTTTAAAACTCAAGAATCTTAACCTTTTTTAACACATAGTTTGTTGGACAGTCTAACCTAAGAATTCTAATGTGTTAAAAATAGTTTGAAATATGAAAAACAATATCATATTTTAAACTTTAACTTAAAAACAAAAAATCATAGGAAAAAGATAACAGATAAGTAATTCCAGATTAAAAGAAGCCGTGCAGATTTGTACATTAGAATAAAAAATATTCAAAAGCAGCTGAGAACAGGTGGGTCTTTAACCTGGATGTAAACAAACTGAGTGTTTCAGCTGATCTGAGGCTTTCTGGGAGTTTGTTCCAGACATGTGGAGCATAGAAGCTGAATGCAGCTTCTCCGTGTCTGGTTCTGACTCTGGACTCGGATCCAGATGACATGAGGGGTTCTGGTTGGTTCATAAGTTATGAACAAGGCACTCAAACAACACTTTTGCACATGTTCGTTAAGGCACAGCAAACAGTGACAATCTTATCTAAAGGCATTAGGTTTTCACCCTCACATTTGAGAAGCATATGCACAGGTACAGTTGAATGTAAGAATTTGAATTTGTTGCGCACAACACCAATCACCCTCTCAACGTGAATTCTGAGATGGAAGGTCTAATCTGAGGCGCATTACAGTCAATAGGACAAGCTCAAAGGGTGAGAGCTTCCTCATCCTTCCTTGAGGCAGCTGCTGGGCTGGGCTGGCGATGGAGGCTGCTGGGCTTGGGCTGGCGATGGGGGCTGCTGGGCTTGGGCTGGCGATGGAGGCTGCTGGGCTTGGGCTGGCGATGGAGGCTGCTGGGCTTGGGCTGGCGATGGAGGCTGCTGGGCTTGGGCTGGCGATGAGGCTGCTGGGCTTGGGCTGGGAGTGATGACTGCTCCAGATGCTGGGTACTGCGCTTTACTTGCCGCTGATATCGCGCTCCATCTGTTTCTTTAACATTATTGTGGCCTAACCGCAAGGATGGTGTCCAGTCAGGGTGATTCTCCAACATCTCATATGATGGTTTACCTAGAACAGAATAATGTATGTAGTCAATGCTTTAAACTGGCAACAAGGTAGCATAATGTCATGAACAGAATCTCAACTATTTTTAGCAATCTCATATAATGGTTTACTTACATCAGATTAATAAGATTATTAAACAATCTGGAATCTAAAGAAATATTAAACAAGAAGGTAACGCTATTCATGGTTTCATAAAAGGGCTCAGGGGGTAGTGGAAACACAAGACAAAAAAAAAGTTTGGGCACCACTGGTTTAGAGAACATAAGAGACAGAGACAAACGCACTTTGAGTGCCCATATTCCACCAACAAGGTAGGATAATGAGCAGAAACTTAAATATTCTTAGTTAACATTAATGGTTGGCCATTAAGCATTTTCATAGAGGCAACAGTTTGTTAGATAGTTAGCTAGGCAGCTAACTTAAGATGCACTTCAGTGTTTGCAACATTAACAGCTAGGTAACCTACACTTCTTAACTTTAAAAAAACAACATAAAGACATTTTAGGACGTACCCGAGTGAAAATGCAGAGAACACACTCTCATCGACTGGGGGTGAGATCGAAAGTAAGGTCCTTTCTTCTTATTGCAGCCAACCAAGCCATCCGGCGTCTCTTCGTCAGGTCAGACACTTGCGCTCCCTGATGTTGTATCCATTTTGGTGGCCTAAAAAATTGTAAACCGTTGTTCCTACGTTTTCCTTTCTTATTGTGTGAGGTACTGGAGCAGTTTTTCACACAGCAATGAGCTCCAGGCATGGTAAAACAGAAATAGCGACGACCTCCTTTGCTACCGAGTTAACAACAACAAGTGTTTGCCGCTGGGATCCTACCAACATGGCGGAGACGGGGAGGGGCTCTGTGCTATGACGTCAGCTCCTCACTCTCAATAGATTCATGCACTGGCAATTCAAAATACAGATAATATACAAAATATACTTAACAAAATCCACGTATACGTGAGAAAACAACTTACTTTCTGTCTCCAACTCTTTTCAATGTGGAAATGA